AAAGTTTATTTATTGATGCAGATATTTTGGTCTACTAAATAGACCGTCTTCATGAAATAGTATTTCATTTATTTTATGAATATTTAAAGGCTATAAAAATCACTTAAAACCTGATAAAAAAATCAAGTAATTAAAAAAATTGCGGTCGATACTTATATTTATAAAAGTTTTATTTAATAAATTTTTTATTTAATAAAATAAATACTAAAATTTAAATACTAAAATTTAATGCTGTTTATACTGAATATTAGCTCACTTTTATGTTATATTGTTTTATATATATAACTGTTAACTTATTTGAATTAATTATATTTTTATTTATAATATTATAAATATTTACATTAGTGATATAAAAATTAATATTGTAGTTTAAATAAAATATTTTTTTACTTTCTTTATATATATAAATTAATTAATTTAATTATTTATATTAACAACGTTTTATATTAAATTCTATATTAAATTAAAATTTAATTTTAGTTCACTTATATTTTAGTTTATATTAGTTGTACTAAAATAACTATTATTAATTGCATTTTATATATTATAAACATATTTATATAAAGTTAAATTTTAATTTATGTTATAAAAACAAGAATTAAAGTTAAAACAAAACATTAGTTTCATTAATAGATGTTAAGAAATATCTAAACATTTTTGTAGATAATACTACTAAATGGTAATAAAATATTAAATAAGTAATTAGTTAGTAATATAACAGTAAATGATATAAATTCGTTTAATGGAATGTCTAATGTATACACATTTTCCTTTGCATTGAACCTTACAAGTCTTTGATGAAATCGAATGTCTGAGTTAAATTTACGTTAGGTTCTTCCATTAGTGATGTCTGTGGGTTTTGTGAAATTGGTATCGAAACCTTAGTGTCTCAAATTAAAAAAATGAAAAAAAATGAAAAATTCTTCATATAAATCTTATATGAAACATGGGTTTGCAGTACTATTTCTAAAATTTAAATAAGTAATTTTGAGTTAATACATGAGTTAATGCATTCTGTAGTAAATCACATCCATATGAAGACACATCTGTGTATATTACAATGATATTGTTTAACAAAATAATTCAATATTGAATGTTATAAGAATTTTCTCATAATGTGTTATATATTTAAGTTTTCAAATACTTGGAATTTCAAAGATTTTTCAATATTTCTATTATAAGTTTATTATAATTCACTGAGATACATTTTATGTGCACATCTCTGCTCTTAATTCAAACCACATCAACAATATCACATTTAATCCAGTAGTTAGAAACTTTCTTTTTATTATTTGACTGCCTATTACAATATAAAATGACATTTTTTAAAAAGACTCATGCACTCCGAATCTAAAGCAAAGGCCTTTGAAAGAAAATTTACTACTAGTGTGGCTACCAGAAGAATCGTATAACTTTTACTTAAATGAAATTTGAAGAAAATTATAAAATTAGTCAATTTATATGCCCCTTGCCCGTTCTAATTGAGTTGTTCTACAAGTTTCTTTTATAAAAATCCACAGAAAAAAACATATTGCCACATAACTGAAGAGATAAATTTTGGATTAACTCCGGAATTCAAAAGCGAAAAAAGAATCAATAAAATGCCTAATTTATGATGTTCTACAACAGAAGGTAAAAATTAAACTCAATTCCAATTACCATAGTTATCATTAGGAGAACAAAGAAAAACAGATGAAAAGGTGTAAAAAGAGGAAAACCCTATATAAGAGACCCACCAAACTGTAGAATGGTTTTGAAATGCAGGAAAGAAGTTGAAAAAAAAACTTCATTTTTGGTTGATAAAAAATTTAAACTCTGTCTGCGGCAAGAAAAGAAGTTTGAAATTTTGTATCTTTTATCTGTACTTGTTTGAGTTCTGTCGACTGCAGCTAAACTCCAACTTCTTTATTTAGTGCCGCTGATAATGTGAAAGCCTTAAAGTAAGTGTCATTAGTGTAAAGTGAAAAAAGTTCCATTAAGTCATAAAAGGGTTAAAATAAGTTATCTAAAGTCAAATAAGAATAATAATTAAAGCAGTCATTAGGAAAAGTAAATAAAATTTGAAAGAATAAAAATGTAAGCAGTAGTTTAGCATCGAAAGTGTACCATAAGTTACCGAAAAAATTACCGAAAATTAAGTAATTAGTATCTCAAAAATTATTTCACTTGTCTTACTGCTTCCACAGTTTCATAGCAGATTGAAGTTTAAACAAAAGGAAACGAAAAGTAGCAATAACTAAATTAAAATAGCATTTTTATTGGTGGTTTGTGTAGATAAGTGGAGAGCTGAAATTGAAAATGAATTACATTGCAAAACCAATAAATTCGAAACTATAAGGTTGCCTTTACCGAGCTATCGAAACCCTAATCTTTCCTTTTGTATGTCGGGGCTGTAGTAAAAATAGTCATCAAGTCTCAATCGTAGCCAAGCTGTGTAAGTATTTTAATTGATTTATGAGGTTTTTTTCTTTTATTGACTTATTGACTGTTTCGCTTTAACCATTTTACCAGTTTTACTTTTGACCAAACACTGATTTCAAGCTCGAGATTGTTACAGTTGTTGTTGTGGTTTTAAGCCCAGTTTACAAAGGTTTCAATTTAAGGTTTCCATTGCTGATATTAGGTAATTTTGATACATTTAATTGTCTCTGATGGGCTATAAAGAGCTTGTGTGTTAATGGAGAGTATGTGATTTTATACTCGTTAAATGCAAAAATCAGGCAAGCAGTGGTGTAAGCATTAGGGATGGTAAGGGTGACATAGCACTATTAAAAAAGTGAATAATATTCTTTATAGAGATAAAATATTACATTTTATATGGTTAAATAACTTAACATAAATGCGGTGCCTATAATTCTAGATCAGTTTTGAATGGTAAGTTTTATGCAAAAGCTGACACTGATTGCTGAGTTATTTGAATGCGAATTAAAATCTATATCAGATATTTATTGGTTGTTGCCTTTCGAAGAATCAGAAAAAGTAATGGTTAGTTGTTTGGTTCTTATAATATCAAAATTTATATAACAAACATTTATGGCTTGTTTGGTTAAAAATCACTTGATCAAACATGGACTCGTAGTGTCCAACCAATATATAGCTCTTTAATATATAACTCTTTATACGAATATTACTAAAGATGATAAGTATTTGGTAATATTTACTACTCTCCATTTCTATCAGTAAAATAGTTTTCTTTTGTCGTAATTGACTTTAGAAGATTAAATAAAATCTGTATCCTTTGTGCAATTATATATTTTTAGCAGTAATTTTATTCGTTTATTCTTTATTTATTTATTGAAATCAGTATTTATTATTTGGAAAAATCTTTTCACTTGTATGTATCAAAGAATTTCTTCTATAAAAGCAAAATTAATTTGGATTTATTTGTTATTTGATCAGTTTTGTAGGAGTGACAAACAGCCTCCCTTTGTTGTGAAAATTCTTTTCAAAATTGAAAAAGTAAAAATTAAAAGTGAAATTAGGCAAAAACTAGTTCATTGGAAATATTTGTATTTTTACAAAATAAATAAAATAATTTATTATTTCATTACTGACATTTATTTTTGTCATTTCAAATATACAAGGACGGCAAACTCAGCAGGAGACATGATGTGACATCTTCTAGTTCCTTAATTTTCCTTAAATAAAGAGTAGTTCCTTTTAATGTTTTCATGCAATTTTCCATTGTAGGTTTTCCTTTTTATTTGTTAAAGGAATTTAAATTATTGTGTAAAATTATTGTAAATATTTGTAGACATAAAATATCAACAAGCCTCATGATTAACAATGCCATAATCACAGAAGCAAGAAATCAATTCCTTTTGAATTGCAATGTCATTAGAAAATAAATATTGCATTTGTAATTACAAGAAATATTAAGGCGTTCCTTCCTAACAATAAATATATTGAAATATTTTACAAAATAATATATAATATCAAAATATTTGTAGAAATCCTAATACATGAAATTCCAGGAAGTGATTTTATTTGAAATGGAAATAATAGGGATTCATCAATAAGAGTAAAAGTTGGTGAAACATAAAATTAACAGAAAATATATCCTTTATATTCAGGATATTATCCTTATTACTTATTTATATATAATTATTTTTAAATAAATAAATAGTAATTAAAAACTTACAGAAAATGTATTCTTTATATTCAGGATATTATTTTATTCTTATTATTTATATGTGTTTAATTATTATTATATAAAGAAATAGTAATTAAAAATTCTTTATTTTCTTTATATTCAGCATTTTATTTTATCCCTATTATTTATTTATATTTAATTATTTTTAAATAAATAAATAAA